TGACTGCCAACGCCTGCATCTTAACATTTTTTAACCGTTTAAAAAGCTGCGGATTGCTATGGACGGATCTCAACAACACAACAGGGGAACGTAACTGCCGAAGGAAGTGATGCGTGAGACGGAGAAAGCGAGGCTGCAGCTAAAGAGAAATCCTCACAGACCTCCGCTTCAATCAATCCTGCCCTCCAACGTCCGCTCGCTGGAAAATAAAATGGATAATCTCCAACTGGAACTCTCATCAAAGAAGGAGATATGCAACTGATATGTAACTGCGCCATCATCCTGATGGAGTCTTGGCTGCATCCAGCAATGCTGGACAATGCTATTAACCTGGAGAGGCTAACCCTACTATACCGCGCCGATAGGAACAAAGAACTAAGCGCTAAGACTCGGGGTTCTGTGTTTACATCAACAACAGCTGGTGCAAAAATGCTAGATTGGTTGCCAGCCAATCCTGTCTAAGTCTAAAGTCTAAGTCTACATCTTTCTCCTGTACTTGGACCATGTTTGTTTTAGTCAGAGACGAATCATTCAGACAGCAGAGATAAGGTAAGTCGGCATTCTGGAGCTCAGACAGAGATCAATGTGAGAACACCACCTGAGAGAGCTCCAGAACGAGGAGAAGGTGGCCAGCCATTCCAACCTCTGGAACTAAAGAACCACAGTGGTAGAGGGGGCATTCTGCCAGTGCTAGATCACGAGGAGAAGCTTGCTGGGCAGAGAGAGCACTGAGGTGGAAGACGGTGGTAAATCGCAGAAGCTGGCCAGGGAGACAGACGAGGAAGAGTCAAGGCTAGCCTCTAGCTCAAGGGTGGGCAATAGGGTAACTTCTGCAACTTTAAGATGTGCCTTTGGTTCAACACACCTGAATCATGTAACTAGATGATTGGGAGGACTCTGGAGGAACTGACTGTGTCCTAAGTTTGTAACTCAGCCATTTTTATTTAAGGTGAGTTGGACCAATGATGCATCTAAAAGTTGCAGGATACCGACCCACAGGAACTAGGATTGCCCACCCCTTCTCTTGGGGCTAACTGCTGGAGGTGAAAGAAGGACAGTTGAGGATCAGAGAAGCATGCCATGCAGGCAGAGTGGCAGAGGATCTCTTGATATATTGAGGCTCAGGCTAAACATTACATTTTAGCCTGCAAAGTCTGTTTGGTAGCTTTAGGGGTGTATGGTAACATATATACTGGTGTTCCTTTAGGTTTAAGGGTTTGGGTATGGCTAAGGGATGGGTTAGTGGTAAGTTTTTACCTAAAAGTTCATAGAAATCCTTTGCAAGTTCCATACCTACGAAAGAGGGACCCCGTCTCGTAAGAATGGGACTTGACAAAGCGTCAATATTTTCTTGAACCAATGATAAAAAGGTACTGACTTTGTTGACTGACCAGACCATTGAAGCGTTCTAGCACTGTGTCACTCGGCTGCAAATGTTTGAGATGATCTTGGTGCTGGAGCGATCTTGATGGCTCTACACCTGTTGACACTAGTGCAGAGATATTTGTGTAGTAGTCTTACCGGATCTAAGTGTGGGCTACATTGTATTTCACAACATGATGGAACGTGGCTCAGCCAATCACATTTCAGAATGGGATACACCTGTTTTATAGTAATAATATACTGCACACTAAGAGAGAGTAATGGCTTTTCTTTTTTTATCTCGCATTGAAATTCATATGATATGAGTGAGAGCGACTCCTCCCTGAAGTCACATCCCTGGAACAGAGATTATTTAAGCAGCTGACTACCCCTTTTTCTTTCTCTTTGCTCTGTGGCCCACAGGTCTGAAAGGCGAGACACACCGACCTTCTTTGCCTGGCCACCCCGCTACAGAGAAGTCAGATTTCTGCTGGCAAAAACAGGCTTCTTCTTGCCTGAGGTTCATAGAGAACTTAACGTAGTGTCTTTTCATTTGATTGTTCGCTACCCATTAAACAGTTCTGGTCCGACCCTGTTGCTGAGTTTCTGGGTCTCTAAACCGAACCAGATATTGTTCCTACCTTTCCACCGAACCAACACAAAGTAAACTTCCTTTACCCCTCTTTTTAATGCAAAGGTTACTGAGGTATTCTAGCTTGGACGAGGTATAGAATAGATGAATATATGTGTTTTATCTGAGAGAATTTTTTTATTTCATGTGTTGGTGGTTTCATAAATGAAAGAATTCTGAACTGAATGCTAATAATAACAGAGCACAGACATCCCAAGTCTCCTGGAAGTTCCAGGAGTCTCCCTGATATAGATAGTTGTTCACCGATGCTCGCAAGTTGAACAGTGGCGGATCTAGACCAAATGTACCAGGGGGGCCAGGAGGGGGCCAGCATGCTTTCATGGGGGGCACAGAGAAGAATGAAATAAAAAACAGTGCAAGGCATTTAAATATATTACGAGAGCTGTATGAAGTGAAATTTCTTTTCAATTAGGTTCAATAAAAATTTTATTTCATATGAGGTC